TAACTTAAATGTAAAAGTATTTTTCTCAGGTTAAGACTGTGTTCCCCACAAAAAGATTATACCTTGCTCCATATCATAATTCATTCCCACAGATTTCACTCTAAAATAAACCCTTTCACTCTAAAATAGAATTCACTCTCAAATAAACCCCTCCTGTCCATAATTACAGGGAGTCTACTTTGCTACTCCAAAAACAAAAATTAAAAATGTTTTTATCCCTTGAGCCCCACAGAATTTGACGTACTGAAGTCAAAATCTGCTCATACGAACACAGCTCCAAAACCAAGCTGTTTCATGACAGGCCAGACATCAAGTCACAGCCAAAAACCAGCTTTATATAACAACCTATTTCATCAGAGATGCTTGTCACAAAGTGCTCCATCCCAGCTATTTGCTTTGGTAATCCAACCCCTAGGGACCGAATTTATACAACAACATTCGCATATCCCTAGCAAACGGCTAAGACTCCAGCAAGGATAAAAAAGATGACTTACTACATGGAGAAGTTGATGTTACTATCTTCAGAACCTTTTTTGGGGAATTATCTATCACAAAGCAAAATTAGTTGGACTGTCAGAACAAAGGTGCCTCTGCAAATCATTAACTACACAGATTATTGGAAAACTCTTGAACTGCACTTGTTGGTTTTTTTGTGATTTCCCTCCCGCTCTCAACTCCTCAAAAGGAGATGAATGTTCCCCCACGAGGGAAGAAGCAGGGAGCACCCCTCATTCTGGTACGCCATTCAGGAGATTCCCACACAGTGGCAGAAAACTTGAAAAAGCTGCTCATTTTTGAGGAACAAATGGGAAGAAGCTTCAGGAAAGAAATCAGAAGAAAGAAATCAGAAGGAAGACAAGAAATCAGAAGGAAGACAAGAAATCAGAAGGAAGACAAGAAGTCAGAAGGAAGACAAGAAATCAGAAGAACATCCCTGTCCAACAGCCCCAGGCAGAGCTCCACACGAGCTGTGCCATGGGCTCTGCTGCTGAAAAAATGCTCCAGATCTCCAGGAGTCTTAAAATAGAGGTGGTGATTGTTTATAATATTATATATTATCATACATAATATTAAATGTTAGCTATATATACATATACAAAGATATACAGAGGCACCAAAACAAGTTCACTACCACTGAGCAGGTGCAGAAGTCAAGTTAAGTTCCACACCAGCCACCATAAAGAACAATCCAGGGTCTTGTGCCTCTAATGTCATCTAAAGGTGATTTTAGCACAGGGCAGTGACTGAAAAAAAAAATAAAATCAAGTAGTGAAGTAAAACTGCAGTTGGATAGACTTGATCTTGGTAGCCCTGCACATCTGACAACTGACATAACACCAGACTACATTAAAAACAGAAGAGAAATAAACAGAGCAAACCCTCCATCCGATGGAAAATCACACCAAATAAATCCAAACTCTTGTATCTGGAAACCACATGTGGCATAAACTGCATCGCCTTCCTCCACTTTCTTTTCCAAAAGTTTGTTTAATTTATGATCGCTTTGTTTTATATAGAGGCAATTCACTCTCACATAACATTTTCTGTATACTCTTTGGGATGGAGAACATGGGTAAGATTCACAATTCAAAGATTGACACTGACTTCTAGATTTTGCTTTGAGAAAAAATGCAAAAAGTGAATGAGTGCAAGACAAGCAGGTATTTAACTACTTTGCCAAACAATCTCACCTATGAACACCTGCTCATATTTATTTCAAGAAATACATATTTTGGTATGTGCTGATTAAGTTATAGAACCTAAATAAGTCATTTCACAAAATAAAAGCCCTGAGAGATTTCAGATAAATCAAACGAGTAGATTTGGATCAGGAATCCTTCATAAATCATATGCTTTGATAAACCCTGGATCTCTTTTTTGTAGCACTTTAGCAGTACACTCCCAGCAAAGCTTTATTCCACTGAATCTCTGTATGCTCCACCGCAGTCCAATAAAGCTTGCTAAATTAACGCTGCGCTAATAATTCTGTTTGCATTCAGAATGCTATCGAAACAAAGAGTTGGTAATTCAGAGAATTAACTTTGATGACAACTCTACGATCCTAATAGCTAAGAAAGGTAATACCTACCAAGGACCCCATCCTTCGCATTTCCCAGACTATCAAACTCTCAGGCTAAACCACTAATTGTTCACTTCCTTGAAACTTGGTTTCAAAAACTAAATCCTACCTTGCACTAACTTTTTAAACTTCTCATTTCTACCATAAATTTGTCCATATTGCAAAGCTATTTTCCACACTGCCAGGCTAGTTTTGGTGATAGTTTGGTTCATCGCATATCAAGAGATCCAGAAGCAAAGCGTCACGAGCCTGGAATGCACAGAGAGCACCGACAGATTTGCCACCCAATGAACCACAACTACTTGTGTCTCACCTCCCTCTGCAACACAGTCCCCAAAACTGCCAAGAACAAAATTCAGCACTGAATTCTGAAAAGGCTCTGGAAAAAAATTTGCTGCTGGAATAATAACTCATTGTCAACTACAACTTAGATGAAGTTAAGTATTTTAACAAAAGTACTGTTGTGATTCCATTAAAGATTGCCAATATTTCAAAAATTATGTTTTTATAATTAATAAAAATTGAAAGGTGTAACAAAATTATCAACACTGAAAAAACAACCACAGTAGCTGCAATTTAGTGTTCCTTCATATGTTAAATAAATGGAAGTATGTCTTTTGAATTAAAAAAGTCTATAGCTCTTTTGATACCCAAAGGATTTTAAAAACCAAATTAATTCCAACCATTAAGGACAGTTATTTTATCTGAAAATAAATGTCAGCGGAGGATACTATAATGTTTTTTCAGGAAAAGTAAAGCCATCATCTAGGTTGCTTTTCTTGAAAGGCGTTCTGTGGCTTGCCCCAGACACATTTCAGGAGGTGTCTGGAAGTAACTGGGAGTAAGTTCCCTACAAAAGCTTGCTATACTGTTCTGACAACTTTGTATCTGCTCTGTACACAACAGCCAGGACACTGACAAAAGCCAACATGAATTTAAACTATGCTGTAGAGCAAGTCTAGAAAAATCACTAGAGAAGCAGGAGAAAATTCTGTGTGTGTTGAACAAGAGTGAAAGAGTTTTTGTGCATTTCAGTGATGCAGAGATTCATATCCAGACACTTTGCTTGAAGTCTGTGACACTGGATTAATTAAATGCTACCTGCCAGATACACCCAATGGCTGCAGGTAGGCTAATATCAGTACATAATTCAGAACTAGTTCACATAGCTCCATACTATACCATAGGCAGCGAGTAGATGAGATGTAGCTGGTTCTGATTCAGATCTCAGATTTAAATTCCTGTATTTGTAAGCTCGAACTGAAATTGCTCCTCATACACATCAGCAGAAAACTATGGGACCCTGTTTCTAGGAAACAAATTAAGATTTCTTATTACTTGTGACTTGACCTCTCTCACCCTAGTAAAAAAATGAATTTTTCTTCATTCAGGTTTACCGCAGTAAAAAGAGTCATGGTTAATGTAACACTGCGTCCAGCTCTGGAGCCCTCAGCATAGGAAAGACATGGACCTGTTGGAGCAGGTCCAGAGGAGGCCACAAAAATGATCAAAGGGATGGAACACCCCTCCTGTGAGGACAGGCTGAGAGAGTTGGGGTTGTTCAGCCTGGGGAAGAGAAGGCTCCAGGGAGACCTGATCGTGACCTTTCAGTACTTAAAGGGGGCATATAAGAAAGGTGGCCACAAACTTTAGATTGGGTATAAGGAAGAAATTCTTTACAATGAGGGTGATGAAACACTGGCACAGGTTGCCCAGAGAGATGATAGATGCCCCATCCCTGGAAACATTCAAGGGGCTCTGAGCAACCTGATAGAGTTGAAGATGTCCCTGCTCACTGCAGGGGGGTTGGACTAGATGGCCTCTAAAGGTCCCTTCCAACCTAAGCTATTCTATGATTCTAATATCAGCTTTATAGCACCATCAGACAGCAGGAGCCATCAAATTCTTTCCTATATCATAATCCCACTTCCTTTGACCCTGCTAGAGCACACACTAACATGAGCAGCACTTACCACTTTGGAAGAGTCCGTCTGTCCAGATTACAAACCCAGTTTGGTCAGGTCTAAACCAAATTTTTATTTTAACCCACCGCCAACCACTGTTTTTTAAGACGACTCCTTAATGCAAAGCCCTTAATACCCTGCTGATGCAGCAGAGGATTTTTACATTCTTAACTGTTGTCTTCTGTAACACAGTTCGCAAGCAGTAGCAAGCCGAAATAGTAACAACGAACAGACTACCATAAATAAAAAAATGATATGCACCACAGTACAGACTAAACAGACTTGCCACTCCAAGATTTCACTGAGTTTTTAGACAAGCTCAGTATTTGCTCTCATTTATTCTAGCCACCATTCTGCTACCACTGCTTCAAAGCACTGGAAATAAAGTCCTCACAGTCCCTATACATTTTGCTTACTCCATCTATTTTGCTTATGACCAGAAGTGGAGAATAATTACCATTTTTGTTATAGATGCATAGGTACACACATTATGGGCAACATGCTGTAAAATTAATACATTGAAGAGTGAATGGAGCTGTTACCACAGCTAAAGCAGCTTAAAACCTGGAGATAAAAAAGTGTAACTTTCATACAGTGATGTGCATTAAAAATTGGCAAACACGTTAGGCTCTTACCAGGAATGGACTCCAGCAAATGCAAGAAACACACATTATAGCCAAGAGCTGAATGATCATTTCAAAATGATGAGATCTGCCTTGTCTTTGTTGACTTTTAAATTTGACTTTTAAGAGGGTAACTCCTGTGACAGCATTGCACAAGAATGAAATAGCAAGGGCCAGCAACCCAAGGCAAGAAAAAAGTAAGAGGTAAAATCTGTCTTCCCAGTCCTCAACATTTTCTGTTTTATAGAAGCACCAGGTCCTCGATGCTTGAATTTGATAGGCTCTAAACCTAAGAATAGGCAGCAAAGCTATAAGAACAGCAAACAGACATACCATAGTCAACATCATTTTCACATGTTTAGAAGTCATTTTTGTAGAGTGAAATATTGGCTTAGTGACTCCAATGCACCGTTCAACAGCCATCACACTGCCCCGTTTTTTAAGAGCGGGCACAAACCAAAGAAAACCATGCAGATGCCAAAAACACTGCAAAGAATGTTGGACTGGTTAAATCGAATCCAGTCTTTATCCGAAGCGTACACAAACACCGCAATGGCTCCGTTGATGAGGTGGCCAAAGAGATCTGTGACGACCAAACCACTAGCAAGAAGCAAAAAGGAGGCTTTCGATTTCTGTCGAAACCTCTGATACGCCTTCATGAGAATTACTATTGCAAGACTGTTGGACAAAATTCCCACCGTCATGAAGATTATCGAAAAGAAAACAGAAATCTTCTTCTCCGTGTGGCAAGTTGTGTTCTTCAAGATTCCAAATCCAGCCAGCCCTGGTGATTTTGAACTGTTCATGGTTAGGAAAGGAGAGGCAGTCCTCAGAACATTTCAGCAGGCTTGCAATCAAAAGGCATCTGCAATATTAAAAACAAATACACACACGCTGTAAAAGGCATAGCAGTGTTCAAATGGCATTTGAAGCAGAAATTCTGTAATATTAGTCTGTGGTACAAATCTAATTTTCTGGTTTTCTGAGTGATATGATATGGCATCATATTTTAAGCGCATCAGTCACGGGATAAAACAATTACCTGCATGCATTATACAGTGCAGATAGAGCGTACGGTATCTTTACAGTCTCTGCACATGGGATCCACAGATAATATAAGAAATATTTAATGCCCACGTACATATAATCAGAGGAACCATACAAAACATTCTGGCGGTTAAACTACATATATAAACAAATGGTTTTGCAAGCATACTCCTAGAATGAAAGTATTTATCAGTCCAACCTCAGTCAAAAGTGAAATACTCGGACTGGAATGCTTTGAGATGATAACCACACTCTGTTTGTCTTCTCACTATTAAGCACTTATTTTCAAAACAACGTCCTAGCATCTTCCAAGTAACTCTCGCAATTCAACGTTTTAAAGCTTTAACGCAACCAACGCTGAAGCCTCCAGCGCCGCAGTTCCCTCACTGAAGAGCAAACTGGTGCTAGTTCAGACGCTCCCTTACTCAGCAGCCAGTCCTCCAAGTTCCTTCACTCTTTATCTCCCATCTCTACTCTCTGGACGCTCCCGCTGGCAAAGGAGCGGCGGCTTTCACCGCGCACGGCACGAAGGGGCGGTGGAGCCCCCCAGCACTGCGCCGGGCTCGCAGGGGACACGCCGCTGCCTTCCGACCCGCCGGGCGGCAGCGCTTGTC